GATTAAACTCCTCTATTTCTTCCGCTAAAATCGATCACACACATACGTGGCATAGTAGGCTTGCACACGTAGGCATTAAGGGACTTAAGCTACTGAATGAGAAATGCGCATTTGGTAATGACTGTGTGTCTGACCTATCGTTCTGTGATCACTTTGTGCTCGGAAAGCACCATAGAGTGTCGTTCTCCACTAGTACGCATAAGGCTAAAAGTATGCTTGAATATGTGCATTCTAATCTGTGGGATCCTGCTAGTAATCCCACATCGGGTGGGAATAGGTATTTCCTATCTATCATAGATGACTACACCAGGAAAGTGTGGGTCTATCTATTGAAAGACAAAACTGAAACCTTCCATAACTTTAACAATTGGAAGAAACAAATGGAAAACCAAACTAGCAAGAGGATCAAAATTTTAAGGACAGATAATGGCCTAGAATTCTGTAATGCTGAATTCGATAGGATGTGTAAAGAAAGTGGAATAACAAGGCACAAAATGGTTCCCTATACTCCCTAGCAAAATGGGGTAGCAGAAAGAATGAATAGGACCATACTAGATAAAGTGCGCTGCATGATGTTAAGTTCTGGGGTTCCTAAATCATTTTGGGGTGAAGCCGTTGTAATTGCCTGTTATCTGATAAATTTGACTCCATCGGCTGCATTAAATGGTGATACTCCACATGAGAAATGGTCTGGAAAATTGGGTGACTACTCAATGCTTAAAGCGTTTGGCTGTGCTGCCTTCTCTCATCAAAGTGAGGAAAAATTAAAACCTAGAGCCAGGAAGTGTGTCTTTCTAAGATATCCCAAAGGGGTTAAGGGCTATAGGTTATGGGATAGAAGCCAAAAAGGAGTTAAGATCATCGTGAGTAGGGATGTCACATTTAATGAGAGTGAGATGCCTTGTCTAAGGAACGAAACCGAACCTGTAAGTGAAACTGAATCAGGTGAAGAAAGAAATCGATTTAAGGTGGAGTTAGGAAAATTTAACACATCAGTACCTAGTATTTAGAGTGAGGTGGAGATTCAGGTCCAAGAACCTGAAGAGGAAAATGAAGTAGTGATAGAAGAGCATCCTGAGGAAGAAAATCCATTAGCTAACTATAATTTAGTTAGGGATAGAGAGAGAAGACAAACGAGAGAACCTAGGAGGTTCGGGTTTGAATCTAAATTGGATTTTGCATACGCTAGTTACGAAGAACTAGTTGATAGGGAGCCGGAAACTTTTGAAGAGGCTATGAATAGTGGTCAATCTAAGGAGTGGCTTAAGGCTATGAAAGAAGAGATGAGTTCTCTAGAAAAGAATCAAACTTGGGAGTTAGTACCGAGACCTAAGAATAAATCAATCGTTGATTGCAAGTGGGTCTTTAAGGTTAAGGAAGGTACTAGTAGTACAGAACCCTTAAGATTTAAGGCTAGGTTAGTAGCGAAGGGTTACACACAGAAATAAGGTGTTGATTATAACGAGATTTTCTCACCAATTGTCAAGTACACTACTATCAGGGTCATGCTCGCATTGGTTGCGCTCTTTGACTGAGAACTTGAACAACTCGATGTAAAAACCGCTTTTCTACATGGAGAGCTTGATGAACAAATCTTTATGAATCAACCAAAAGGTTTTAAAGACAAGTTAAAATCTGATTATGTGCATTTTCTGAAGAGATACCTATACGGTCTAAAGCAATCACCTAGACAGTGGTACAAGAGGTTTGATTCATTTGTACTCACTATAGGATTTCAAAGAAGTAAATTCGATCATTGCCTATACTTTCAACACAACGAGACTGATAACAATTATTTGTTCTTGTTGTTCTATGTGGATGACATGCTTTTAGTTGGATCATCTGCTAAGTGGATAAACAATATAAAAGCAGACCTTAGTGGAGAATTTAACATGAAAGACCTAGGAAAGGCTAAAAGGATTCTAGGCATGGAAATAAAATGAAATAGGTCAAATTCCATCGTATTCTTGCATCAGTCTCCATACATATCAAAGGTGTTGAAAAGGTTTAATATGAGTGACTGCAAACCTGTCACGTTGCCTCTTGCAAACCATTTTGTTCTTTCTAAAGAACAAGCTCCCTATAATGAACGTGAAGTGGAATACATGAGTAAAATTCCATACTCAAATGTGATTGGTTCCATAATGTATTTGATGGTTTGCACTAGACCAGACTTAGGATTCGTTGTTAGTACTCTCAGTAGGTACATGTCTAATCCAGGTCCTGAACATTGGGAAGCATTAAAGTGGCTTTTAAGATATTTGAAGGGTACAAGTGACGTAGGTCTAAAATTTAGTGCTAATAAGGAAGGCGTGAAATTAAAGGGTTTTGTAGATGCTGACTATGCAGGAGATAGGGATGGTAGGAAATCAACTTCCTCTTACGTATTCACCTTATCAAATTCGTGTGTTAGTTGGAAATCAGAGTTACAACACATAGTTGCACTATCCACTAAAGAGTCAGAATATATTGCCACCACTGAAGCAATTAAAGAAGCTCTATGGCTTAGAGGTCTACTTCATGAACTAAGTGTCTTGACTGAGTATGTGGTTGTGTATTCTGATAGTCAGTCATCCATACATCTGTGTAAGAATCCTGTTTTTCACGAACGCACTAAACATATCGATGTTAGGCTACACTTCATTAGGGATATAATATCACAAGAAGTAGTAAGACTTGAAAAAATTCACACACAATATAATCATTCGGATATGGAAACGAAAGTGCTGCCACTGGTAAAGTTTAGAAGTTGTAAAGAGCTTCTAAATATCGGTACAGGTAAATGATTTCCAATTTTATCGGTTTTCTGTTAGAGGTGTCACTAATGGAAAACGTTTTCTCTTTGCAGGTCCTTTGACACCAAGGTGAGGCTTGTTAGACATCATGTTGTCAAACGACCTCTCGGGCGATGATGTAAATCAGTTTTATCAGTCGACATGAATGACTGAACGATAAATCAACACCGAATAATGGGATGACCCGACTTAACGTTGTTTTACCTATTGGATGGCTAATAAACCTTTGTGGCTTGTTGGGGGGCTATTGGGCCATAACCCTAGTCGAGCCTACTTACCATATCTTGACTTACCTTATGTTGGCCACTTAACATATATATATATATTGGTGGTTTTCCTTGACTCCTTACCCCCGTCCATATAGAACGCGAGAGCAAAGAGAGACTGCTGGTTTTCTTCTTGTGTCTTCTTCTTCGTGATTTGTCTTCCATGCCAATTGCTTGAGGCTGTCTTCTTCTTCTTCTTCTTCTTCTTCTTCTTCTTCTTCATGCATTCTACTCTTTGATCTTGTCTACCTCTTGCTTGTGTCTTTGTGACCCTTACCTATGTGGTATTCATTCTTTGTGAGTGAGCAAACAACAAGCAGAAGGAAGAAAAGCAACCATAGGTAGAACTCGTGGTCGGCGGCGGGTACCTTCGGTTTTGGTGTTGATTCGGTGTTTTAAAGGTTAACTGAGCCCGGAAATCATCTTGAGCAGTTAGAGGAAGATCCTAACACCCGCATTTCACTTGAAAGAATATTTTGAAAATATGGGGTAAGTATCGGTTGCCATTATGGAAGAACATGTGCACCCATGCCTTATGAAAGAATTTTATCAACACATGCAAATTGCACCTTACTTAGACGAGATCTCATGTTTACATAAAAATGTGCTTATAACTATCACGAAAGCACTCATTCGTGATATTCTTGGGTTGGAACTGTGTGACTTACAAATTTTTTTTTCATAAAGTTTATCCTACTTTAGATGGCTATGATCTTTCAGAGGCACGTCATCGAGTCACTAGGAAGAATATCGAAAATATTACTAAATTAAGTGCTAATCAATTGAGCCTTCCATGTAAAGTAAAAAGGTCACCGAGAAGAAGTGAATAACTTCTATTTGTTCACTCTTGATTCATTACTTGTCGAGCGAAAACTTGATTTTCCAACTATTGCATTAGGGCTTATGAAACTTGTTAGTTCATCACGTCACATTAAAACTTTGCCATACACGATGCTTTTCACAAAAAATTTTAAACATTTCGACGTTCCACTTTCTGACAACAAATTTTGTTAAACTTCGCCTTACCGATACTATCAACATCCAAACTCTTAAATGAATGAGGATAGTTAAGGAACATGGCAATGGGTGGCACACACAAAAGGGTTCGACCCTATCTTAGGTCTCCCGACTCTACCTTTTGAGGATGATGAAGAAAATGATCCCATAGAGGTACCCAACCTTTCTTTTGACATACTGTGGATCAATATATAATCTCCTAAATGGCCGAATTGACTCTCTTACATTGTTCATTGATGGCCTTGGCAAGTTACTTCACCTATTCCAAGCTAAACAAGCCATAATCCAAGCCTAACAGGACGCGATCCAAGTACAACAAGCGGTAATGCAGGCCCAGCAGAATGCCTTTTTCGCACATTTCTACGCTCGCTTTCCTCCAGAGCCTTAGATTTTTCTTTAGCTTTTGTTGTACTTTTAAATTTGAATATTACACTGTGAACGATGTTTTCCATGTCTAAGAATGATATTTTTCACTTTTATGATTGTTATTTGCTATGGTTGTCTTCATATCCTACCGGTCTCTATTCCTGTATTTATTTTTTGCTTATGCCAAAAGGGGGAAGATGATATATATAGATGATTATGCATGATGGGAGGAACGTAGAAAGGGGAAAACTAGGAATATGTGGTTATGCATGTTAGGGGGAACGTAGAAAGGAGGAATCTATGAATATGTACATGAAATACTAAACTTAAGATTTATATTCTCCTCATCAGTTTGTTTAATCTTACATTGCAAATCATCTTATTTGTCAAAATCGAAAAGAGGGAAATTGTTGATCCATGGTTCACTTCTCGTTTTGATTATAACAAACAAAATTGTGTTTATCTCTAACAAATTGAATTCGAGTCTTTCTAGCCTTTGTTGCAAGACGATAAATTGAATACTCAAATATCGCTACAAGAGAATTGCAATTAACGATCAAATGATCAATATGGAAACAAATTGATGATCAATAGACTTGGAGACAAAAATTGAGCATTTAGGACAAATCACTTTGAAGAACTGCAACCATCAAACATAGAAGGCATTAGATGTAGATGCTTTAAATTTATATGTAAAGGTAAATACTTTAATTCTCAACATTGAATCACAATAGCTCAGAAAAAATTTATGCACCAGAAAATCACATTTTTAAATGATCGCATAAAAATTATTTTCGAAAGGAAAACTGGATCAAACATTGTACAAAATTATCTTGAAAAATTAAGTGAAAAAGTCCTTCAAAAGCCCACATTTTTCGAAACTATCAAATAGGAAAACTTTCGAGTTTTTCCGTCCTAGCTGATGTCCGGTTGGTTCCAACGATAACTTTTTGACCGTTCTGAAATCTAGCGTATAACGGCTAGCTCTAAACTGTCCGATTCAGTAGGATATCTGACGTTTTGACCGCTATAAATACCACTTCACTTTATACTCACCTACAACTTTTCGGCCCACAAACAGTTTAAAATATAATCAATTTTTTCATGTACTCATCTACTGCTACAAATGTATCTATCAACCTCTCTATAATATATATATGTATTTTTTTTTTGTCAAAATAGATTAATCCATCACAAAATATTTGTTCTTCCCTTTATTTTCTTACTAAAGAAGACAATTAGAGTAGAGCAGTGCTACACAAACAGAGACCTTTGACAGGCTCCTATGACACGGCTACTGAGGTATCACCTCAACCCTGTCAAAGGCCCTTTGACGAGTCCTTTTTGAGCAGCAATATACATTGAATTATTTTTCTTGTACAATCGGGTTTGACAATGTATTCACAGGAAGGGAGGATCCAGAATTTTTTTATTCAGCTTGGGCCCCACCCATGTGTCTAATTGTCAACTCTGGTTGTATACATAGCACAACTAACATACATTAGAGTAAGAGATCAGTATGCCTCTCGGGACATAGCTCATTGGTTCAAATGACAGGAGTGAGATTATCTTAAACCTTATTGGCAGTCGTAGACCGTAGTGTAGGGTTCTATTCCTGAAACATAGAATTAGACTCTTTATACGCGCAGTGTACAGACAGCTCCTATTTCCTAGCCTGCTGGGGCACATCTCGCGATCTACCTCCCTCACAATACTCAAAGAGTGGGATGATGGGGCTCTCAAGATTGGGGATAATTTATTTATTTATTTATTTATTTTTGAGTCCGAGATCAATACAATCTCGGAGTGCAATAATTCTTCTCAAATAGGGCCAAGTAGGCTCTATTTTTTCGAGAGGACGTGTGTCCTTGATAGGGTGCCGGTTGCCCCCAGTTTCCCTGGCAAAAATCCTCGGAGTGTTGTCACCTTTTTTTAGTTAGGCTTGGTAGGCCAGCTAGCTGAGACATGATTCGTACCCAACCCAGCCCTTCCTCAGTCTACACGGAAAAGAAAAACATGCTAATCACAAGACAAACTCGGGATGCAGATTTGGCATCATTTTCTTTCCCTCTCTCTCTCCTTTTAATTAATGCTAGACAGATGCTGTTTTCTTAGCCTGGAATCTCTGTTAAAGAAAGCAACAGTCCCTGCTGGGATAGGACTCAACATTATCAGCAAAACATTGAAAAACTGAAGGCTAATCCCATCAAATCGCTCATAAATTCCACTTTCATTACACAAACTTGAACGATAACCCTAGTTCTAGGAATCTATCAGTTTCTTAATATCAAAACCAAAAAAATTCAGAAAACTCACGAGCCCAGCAAGAGAACAGGAATATTAGACCAGAAACGATAAAGTTTTGATGTAGCCCATCAGCGTTTGAACTCAAATTACCATCGCACAGTACTGTTGGCTTCATCTTTTGAGAATCATCGTCCGGATGATCTTGGGAAAAAGTTTTGTTGCTGGCTGGAACTCTTTTGATCAAACAAGGAGGGATTTGCCTAAATGTCGTACTGATTTTCTTGCTTTGAGGTTGCTGATTTATGCATAATCCTTTGTTTCCTCTTGTATCTAACCTTTGGTCGAGTCTAATGAAAAATTCTTCAGGAAATAATAGTTCCCCAGAAAGCTGATTCTGGCTCAAATTCAATGTATTTATATTTGGCAGTGTTCCCAACTCCTGAGGGACTGTGCCCTTGAGCTTGTTATTATCAAGAGACAATGCAGTTAAATTTTGCAAGCTAGAAAATTTCCTTGGGATTCTCCCTGTTAAACCACAGCCTGAGAAACTTAATACTGTGAGCTCCATCAGTGCCCCAATAAATGAAGGTATCTCAGTATTTATTGGGTTTTCCTCCATCATTAAGTACTGTAATTGATGCAAACCTGATAGATTTTCAGGGATTGGTCCTTCCAAGGAGTTATGACTCAAATCCAATAAGACTAACCTCTTTAATTTCCCTAACTCTGGAGGTATTCTTCCTTGAAGTTTGTTCCAGCTGAAGTCAATCTTTTCAAGAATCTGCAGATTTCCCAGTGAATGAGGCACCATTCCTTGTAAAGAATTCCAGCTGAGATCCAAAATGGACAAACTTTTCAACCCTTCAATTTCTTCCGGGATCGATCCAATCAAGTTGTTGTAACTTATATCAATTTGCTCTAAATTAACAAGCCCTCCAATTTCCTTGGGAATTTCTCCATTCAGATTGTTCTGTAACAAGCTTAAAACTTTCAAACTTGTAATGTTTGATAAAGTTGAAGGGATTTCTCCAGAAAGGCTTGGATTTGACTCAAGAACTAAATTCTCCAAAGAGTGCAGTGAACCAAAGAGTGTTTTGCTCAGAAAAACAGGTGATTTTGTGAAACAGTTCATCAAAGAAAGTGTTTTGAGGTAAGGTAATTTCAACAAAGATAGTGAAATTTGAGCAGAAGATTTGCAAGGTGGGGTAAGAATATCATGGCCAACATGAATCTTTGTGACGTGAAAGATTGGAGTTTGAGTTTCTTGACCAACCTCACACTCAACCCCAGGCCATGGAGTGTCAGTGCAAGGTAGAGGATGCATTTGGGCCCAAGTGGGATCTTCCAAAAGTGAACTCATAACCTCAAACAGACCAAATAACTCCTCTTGTTCCATCACCGGCATATCAACACAGCCGCCGCCAACAAAAATCACAAGAAACCCTAAAAGAAAAGGTGACATAGAAGAATCCATTCTTAGATGAGAATAATTACAAATATCCTCGCTCAAAACTCAAAAGAACCTCTTCTCTTCATGTAAACTTGAAAGGTACACAAAATTTATAATAATAATGTATTTTGTTTGGCATGTATAAAGGAGTTTCATGTGTCAGTAATAAGGCTGCATGGGAAGATATGGAAACCCTAAGGTGGCAAGTTTGTTTACCACATTTGCAAGTTTGAGTGTGATATTGTAGAGTAGCATGCAAAGGGATGAGATTCTTGCAGAAGAAACAGATACAATGAAATGAAGATATTATTGTCATAACTGTCAAATTTGGTATTTAAAACTATGCTGTAACATGACCAGACATTGCTCTGTAGTCTGTTCTCTGTAGCTCTCATGATGCCGACAACCCAAGAAAGATTAACAACCGAGGTCCCACCTCCTCTGCCCATAATCAATTGTTTAATTTGTTAAATCAACTACTGTTAATCTCTTTTTTTTCTTGTTCTTTTTTTAAATTTTAATTTTGATTAATATTAGAGAAAAGCCTATTGAACCCACTCTCTAGTATGGTACATTGCCAATCTCATGATAAGGTCTAATTCACGGGGATATAGTGAAAAGCCTACTGAACCCACTCTCTAATATGATATATTGCCAATCTCATGCTAAAATCTTCGATTCTAAGCAAGATTTTGTAGCTTAACGACAATTCCGATTGTAAAACTAGCAAAATTGCTTAGCCTAGACATCATGTCGACGAGCTTACAAGAATTTGAAGAAAATTAGGCGTACGTCTTAAACTTCATATTATTTTTTCTCTCATTCGTGTTATCATGCCTCCATAACAATTTTGAGATGATTAACACGTATTTCCAATTTTATTTCATTTTGTTGACGTTTAAATAAAATGATCTTCATGCTACATGAAATAGAGCATGTTTGAGCTTCATTTTTTTTTAATTAAAATGCATTTCGAAATAGTATTTTGAGGGTGAATGCATGATTAAAAAATGAATAAAAGTTTTGTATTTGAGTGTAATATTATTTTATTGAAAAATATATGGTTGAAAAAAAAAAGAGAGAGAAATGTATTTAAAAAAAAATGGAAATCAAACAATGGCGTCTATGACCGTTAAAACGTATAAAACCCCAACATTTACTGTTTTAATGAGTTTAGTAAGTTATTTATCTAAAAAATAACTTTTTATTTATATGTAAAAAAAGTAACATATGTTTAAAAATAAAATTTTACTTAAAAGGTAAATATAAATCCTTTTAAATTTTAGCTGAAAATTTGGTATCATACTTTAATTCATACACGTCTCTAGTATTAATGCATTCGTCTTGAAGTAGTGGACTTTCTACTCCATGTTTTGAAATTGGCCCAAGTGTTACGTTCGCAAGAAGCTTTTATTTTTAGTTTTCTTAATTGTAATGTCACATCATGTCCCCATCATTTTAAATTGAAGCATTTACCCTCCAATCAAGCAAACATTTTGTTGATAATCTATGGGCTCGTTCGATTCCCATTTTTTGATCACAAAAATGAAAAATATGATTTATAATCCCGTAATAATTATATTTTTCATTCTCATTCTTAAAAAAATAGGAATCAAACAAGCTCTATATGAGTTTATTTTCTCTATCAAAGCCGTGTAAAATAACGTACTTATCCTCGTCTCAAAAGAAGCCCAAAAAAAGGTAATTGCAGCCAAAGTCCCAATGCTTTTCAAAAGTACAAACGACTTCCAACTAAAACAATTAAAAAAAAATCAATTTCTTCTCCAATCAACCCCCACCTACCCCAACCCAATCCCCCTTCCACCACCACGAACTCTCTTCTCCCCGTTTCGGTCGTCACCGCCACCATATTTTCATTATAATCTTGTCATTTTCAGAGAACTCTGTTCTTCATCCGACATATTCTGTCTATATACATCACAAAAAATATTCATTGAGAAAGAGACAAATATGCAAATAAATTAGCATTAGATAATTGGGGGCAGCAAACTAAAGCTCAAACAATGCTCTGCAGACTGCAGCAGCGGAATAAAGCTGAGGCATGTTCTTGAGATCCTGAAACAAAAAGGATGCGATTAATATACTAGGGTGCTTTGAGGTATTTTTTTTTTTTAATGAAAAATGCATTTTCGAATAATAAATTGATAAAAAATGTGTGGTTAAAAAATAAAGAAAGATTATGAAATATTATTTTAATAAAAAATGTGTGGTTGGCTTTTACCTAGAAACCACGACCTAGTAGTCCCTGTTTGATCACATTTTCTAACTCATTTTCGACTACACATTTAATAAGATCCATGATTTTTATAAATTTTCAACTATACATTTCGTCTTTTATGAAAAATTACTAAAAAGCGGATTTTTAGCTAAGTCTTGGTTTCTGTTGTAATAATGTGTTTCGCACGGGTAGTCGCTAACAATTAAAAAGGGATCAGAACAAATCTCTTGAGACAAAGTCCCAAAAATGGGTGTTTTATTGGCGATGACTTTACAATTGAAACTAAACAGAATGCCTCCAAGGGGCGCAATCACATGAGTACTGAAAAGAAATGTTTAAGTCTAAACTAAAAAATTGAAATTACATATTCTCTGTTTGAGAGTATTTCATTCGAGGTCCTTTGCTCCATGTCTTCTCTGCCTTTTATATTCCCTTGATGATTTCTTCGTGATCAACCGCTTAGAAACTGTTTGATTGCTTTATAACTACCCACTTTCTTTATGGTTGCTAACTTGTCGTGGAACTGCCGTCTCTAACTGCTGTCTTCAACTGAACTCCTTGAATCGTGGAACGGGATAAGGTTACTTAACTGCTTCAATAACTGCACTTCTGAATAACCATAACATCTTATATTTGCTAAGATCCTGGGCGATTTGAAGGTTTGGGCGATAACATGGTCATAGCTCTGGGCGACTGTAAGGCACTTCATTCGCTCAGATCTTGGGCATTTTGCAAGCTTGGGCGATGATGTTACAGTGTTCGTGGGCTTCCACTGCATTCATTAATAACCTTATCTGGACTTTTATCCTGAATTGCCCAGTTGGGCTTCATTCTTTGAGTTATTTGATTTGGGAATTCCCCAATTGGGTTTTATTCCTTGGGCTATTCGATTTGGGCTGCACTTTTAGTGTGTCAACAATTACCCCCCAATATGGCAGAATTAATACCAATTATTAATCTTTGCCATATTTACTTTGTGTTTCCCAGCAACATTTGAAATTCCCAAGGATTTCAAGCATTATTTCCTTCCATAGCCTGAAAAAGTGTGACGCTACAAACCATTATAAACCCCAAAGACACGTCATTTCGTTGTACCACTAAATCACGTCTCATTATTTCGTGCTTCTTTCTCGCCATACCACTGTTCATCTTCTTGCTTCTCTACTACGTTTCTCAAGTAAACTTTAACAAAACTGTATTTCGTTCCCAATGGCTGCTCCACAAAACCAATCTGACGACTCTTTCAACTTCGAAGATTTTCAGAAAATCCTCACTCGGCCATATGTAAATCCGAACTTCCTTGCATCAGCCAATGTCGAACTTAATGAGTTCTATATGGGTCCTTCATTCAACAACGCCGAAGCCGTCGAACAAGTGGCGGTGGGCCAGCCGTTCCCTTGTACTCAAGGCCCTCCATTCCCGAACTCTTTGCCGTTGAGGCCGATTCGGGAAAAAGGTATTCGCACTTGGCCTAAATCTGATATTATTTTCCGTAGATGGCATGCTCGCCTTGTGGGCCATGGTTCTACCAAGGCGAGTTTTGATCATGCTAGGATTTCTGATTTATTAGAAATCTCTCGTCAACCCCCAATTTTTGACTCAACACTTTTTCCTATTGCTTTAAGTTTTTGGTCTTCTAAATATAATACTTTTGTTTTCCCTCTTGGTCCAATGTCTATCACTTTAAGGGATATTGGGGCCCTGATAAATCTTCCACCTTTGGGCGACACCATATTCCCTGATATTTTGATTTTTGGTGTTGCCCCAAAATTTGACAAAAAATTCACCGAGTCCTATTCAAACCTGCAAAGCTGTTATAATCACTCAAACGTTGAGCCTTCCCACGTTGAGCGTGTAGCCTTTCTTCAGATTTGGCTTTGTAAATATATTCTGTGTGTGTTCAGTATGAAGCTTTCTATGAGCTATTTACCCATAGCGCATGAATTGGCACGTGGTAGGCCTTTGAATGTGTGTTCCTTCTTTTTGGCTGCCCTCTATAGAGGCATGACTTCTCTTCAATTTCAATTGAAGAATGATGCATCTCCCATTGGCAGTGAGCCTCTTTGGTTTACTCAACTGTGGTTGAGAGCCTAGTTTCCGTCACTTGGTGCTCTATCCATGTCCTTTCGTTCTGCTAGCTGTTATGGGCTCGCTATTGACCCATTGAGCCCTGTAAATATGTCTAGAAGGGACATTTTTTCATTCTTTTATACTTTAAATTCAATTCCTTCCTTCTTTCCTTTTCGTGCTCATTTAACTCCAGATTATGTGCAACCTCCATCCACCCTGGACAGTGCGAGCGCCTCTCTGCTCGTTTGGGTTCAATTTTTTTACTGGGAGGGAGTTATTCCATGATATTTTAACTGGAACCAATGCCAAAGCTGGGGTTGAAAATATGCTCACCAATTTTTTGCTCGTCAACTTGATTTTGGCCAAACTTGGCCCGTTCCCTCTTGTTATTCAAAAAATATGATAGACCACTTTGACACCATTAATAAGGCAGAGGCACAAGCTATAGATACTCACAATATTCTTTTGACGAGTAACTTTTCATTAGCCCTCTTCAATCCTAGCCGTGTCGTTCACCCCCTTTTTGAACAACTCTGGCCATTAGTGAAGCGCAGATTGTTTGCAACTGATGCCAATCGTGCTTTCCACTCACTGGATCAGCCAAACATTCCTTCCACTTCTCCTATTTTGGTCACCCCTGTGTCCATTAGGAATCCTTCCTTCCCTGCTCGTGCTAAACAATCTGTTCGTCCCTCTACTTCTTTAACTGCCAAACCTACTGCAGCTAAGAGCGTCCCAAGCCGCAAACGACCAGTTTCAGCATCTCCCATTTTGGAGGATGATGATGATGACACTCCTCTCATCGTCAGAAGAAAGGTAATTGAATTCTGTTTACTTACAAGCATACCTTTCTATGTGCTAATAGTTTTCTTGAATTTCTCAAAAAAGTTCAGCCTCTCCTTTGAAGGCTTCGGTGTTGGCAGCTCCTGCTCCATCATCCTCTGCTGGAACTGTTTCGTCCAAACCAGCTGATGAAGGGACTACGCTTAAAGAGAAACCTTCAGTCTCGAAACCTTCATCACAACCAATGGACGAGCCACCTTCTTCCTAGGGCGCCGACTCCCCAAACGTCGAACCAGAAGGTAATACATTTTTGATGTTTTACCTTTACTTGTGCTATTGGTTTCTGATTTGTTGCTTCTTTAATCATGCAGAGGCTCCCATGGGTCTGCCCGTTGTGGCGGAGTCTTCTCGCCCAGACAAGGAGAAGTCTCCCTTGGTGGTGGGGCCAAGGTGGTGGAGCCAACTAGTGATATGCCACCTCCCAAGATTGCTGATGAGGTAACATTTTGCTTCACTTTTATTTTCACTTTGTTTATTGTAGTGAAAACCTTCAATGTTGGCATTTTTCTTTACAGGATGCTGATGAGATTGTGCGTTCCATCCAGGACTTGTTCACTTTCTGGGGGCAAGTCAAGACGTCTTGCCCTGCTTCAATCGGTCGTCCTTCTGCTTCTTCAGAGGAAGATATGAAGTTCCTTAACCAGTCGATATTTGAGTATGTATCTTTTATGGACATGGACATCAGTCAGGCTAGTGCTGCCAAACATAAGGATAAGCTTGAGCATTTGAGTGCGAAGTTGGCGCAAGCACTGACACTTCCGTCGCCCAATATTTTTGCTGATTTTAAAGTGACGTTGAAAGTTGTCCATTCTGACATCCTTTCTTTGCTGGCCAAAAATGTTGAACTGAAGGCTAAGAGTACTCAATATCTTTGTGCTGCATCTGAAAGAGAGTCTTTGCTTCTGGAGATCAACAAAGCTGAGGACGAATTAAAAGAAATCTCTTCCGAAATTATGATTGAAGACTCTTTGATGACCAGTTTGGTTGCACAGATGAAGGAGCTTCAAGCAAGGATGGATGACTGCAAGGCGAGAATGGCTGCTAAAAAGCGTAATGCTTCCCAAGGAATTGAGCGAACCAAGTCTTTGGTCGAGCAATACAAGAAGCTGGAGGTTGATGATGATTTTGTAGCTGAATTGAATGTCACTTCTTCTCAGCAGAGCGAGGATTGGGGGAGACTTAGGGAAAGAATTCGTTAGGTCTGGGGCGAATTGTAATTACGACATCTAATGCCTTAACTTTTCTGTTTGTAACTTCGTATTAACTTTCCTCTTGTAACCTCGTACTGATAGCCATTGCCAATTTTGAATGTAACAGCAGCCATTGTCATTAATGAACGACTAATTTATCTTCTTGTGTATTTATTTACGTTTGTCCTTAATCGTCAATCCCCCAAGCATTTAACTGCTTTATGCTAAGATTCATGTACATCTTCTCTTGGTATTTCTATCTCTTTTCCTAAGACTTTGGGCCACCTGATTCTAATTATTAGGCACGAACGTAACCGTTCATATTCTGTCTTTTCACTTTCACGCCCCTATAAATGCATGCATATTTCGCACTTTTCATTTTTATTTCCATTCTTTTCTTCAAAAACTAATTTACTGCCATCATTTCGCATTTCAACGATTGATCCAAAATTTTCGTCTTCCATAGAAATGGACCATCTGATCCGCCCGTCTTGCTATCTGTTTTGATGTCACCTTTGGTATGGGAGA